TGTCAAATGGATTGGAAAAAAGAATTTAGTACCTTTGCTTTTCAGAACAATTCTCTTTATCAGCTAGACCCGCACAAAGTGTTGCTGCTTTTCTAGGTCGCTCAGGTTTCTCTAGATTCATATTCAAAATATAAAATCAGGAGAGAAAACAAGTAGTTAATGAAAATTAAAACAAATAACTAGAATAATAAGAAAACTTTGTAAGATGTAATCTGGCTTTGGCAGATTTGAACCATGCTCGTCCACGGTCGAGGTAAAACCATCCTGCCATTCTTTGTCTTCAGAGCATCATCTGAGGCAGCCACATTTTAAAGTTGGGAGAACATATACATACAATTCCACAACTGCTTTGAAGTATACAAATCTTGGGTTGCCTTAGACCGTCGCTGCTCCAACGAAGCACGATGCATAGCATGTTTAACCCCAATTCTCCGACCTCCAACCAAAGAACCATTTTTCAGCTCAATAGCACGGGTGGCATCTTCCATAACAGCACTGAGAAAAATATACAAGTACATGACAATGTGCAAACACAAAAGTTTATCACCAAACAGAGCATGAAAAATTATTGCAATAACCCCAACCATTTGAGTTAACAAAGTTTGTAAAACAAAATACCACTACATTGAAAAACAACCACAACCAAAACAACAGATAAAAACAAACATCAGTTTAACTTACAACTGAACGAAACCGAAACCCCGATGTTCAGTTGACCCTATGAACAATATTAAGAACCATATCAGTATTCTTCTGAACAATATCGCTAAATGTTTCTTCAAGCTAGAATAGCATTAAAACATATAAAAAAACAAAAAAACAAAACGAAAACAAAAATACTACTGATTTCTACTTATAAATGCATAACTAAAAGCATAGTATTGAAGCTAATTTTCCAGTTTAAGAAAATACCTGAGAGTTGGTAAAAGAGTAAGGCAAGTTCGACTGTTGAAGGCGAGTGTTCGGATTCGGGTCTCTTGTTTTTCCCCATTGATGCTTTGGCTGCTGATTGAAATTAGGAACCAAAAACTAAAATCCCAAAAACCTCAGCATCGTGGAGTGAGGTTTAGCACTTGAGCCAGTTCGGATCGGAATGGAAATGGATCCTAGACTGGGGCTCCAAATAAATGTACGGCCCGAAATACTTTTCTATCCATGTTTTCATGGGCCTAAATTCATGGAGGTTTCTATAAAAATTTAAAGATAGAAGGTCAAAAAAATATCTTTAACGTTCGATTATCAAGAAATTGTTTGGAATGTCAGCATATTCTAATCTTCTACCAACCAAACAACATACATTTTGGCCAAATAAGTCGAACAAATAATGTAACATATCCCGTAATTAGTAATCTGATATTATATTTCGATAAATCCTATTACTAGAAGTAAACAGACCCCTTGAAGTAGAGTTTTCAGTGTAATGAAGATTGTTTTATTTCCCACATACAGCTAAATTTCCTAATACATGGTGGATGTTGCAGTTTGGTTTCAGTCAAGGTAGTAGTTTTCATCAGGGTCTTTGGTTGTTCGAAAACAAACTTCGAACATTAAACAATTTAGTCCAGCTTGAGTCGAGGGATCGATACTGCGAGCTGTGTATCAGTCCGTACTCAAGTTGGATGGAGAGAATGGAGAATGCGGCACAATTGCGCACTGCTCAAGTCATATGAGATTCGAACCATTTGAAAATCTCGTCGGATTGCAAACTAGTCATTTCATGGTAGGCAAACGCAAGATTTAACTCTTCGTCAACATGATGCACCAAATCTTTAATCTTTCGTATCCCGGAGAGCATCTTTCCAATGCGTTGGACATCCGTCCTGCTTCATATACCCTTTCTGATTGACAAAGCCTTTCTCCTTGAATAAATCGAACAATCTAGCAGAAATGGTCTGGTCAAGACATGGGATTCTGTCGGACAAAAAGGTCGGTGACAGAGGCAACTCCATGCATTCAATCTCTGCAACATCAACCCCTTTATTTCGCAAAACTCCCATGAACTAAGTAATTTTCAGTTTTCTATCTGTATCTTTCGGCATGTGCACGAAAAGGGTTGGTGGATAGTCCTCTGTGATGTCCATGTGATCGAACAATCCTTTGGCAATCATAAGTGTAATGCTACTAAACTTCAAGTCATTCGCGATCGTTGATACAAAATACCCACCCGAAGAAGCTCCCAAAGCCACAAGAGAAAGCTTTCCAAGATTGTGTCTCTTAACCCACCATGTTATAATATCTTCAACAATCAAACTTTCCTTCTCAAACGTCCAGCACTTCCCCGCACGTAGTCAAGACGGCGAACTTACGGGCAAGAGCATGAAGCACGAGCAGCCTGTCCTCCAGCAAAGCAACACACTCGTGGCATTCACTAGACCTATCCCAAAAATCAACAGCTCTAAGACTGCATCCATGAGCTAGAAAAAGAACAGCCTTAGGCGAATCGGGTATTTGTCATATCAAATCCGTACCATTCCGGAACTCTCGTCTAGGATCAAATTGCACCAAAGACTCAAACCTATTCCATGGTTTTGCATCATTTTTTCTGGAAAAGCAATACCAACGCTACTGAGATTGATACCAGAAAAATAACTAGGACTACAACCGGGTATTTTTTAGGTACATGCAATGCCTTTAACTTTGTTCCACGATTCAGCATTACTGTCAACAAATCAACAAGAACAACCTCTAAGACTTGTAAAATTTCTACTACTAATTATACCCAAAAAAAATCTAAATTCTAATTGAAACTGTGCACTCATAATTGAGTCTTAAGTCTCATGGTGAAAAATAAATGTTACAGATCGAATGATATAGTTCATGGGGCGATGAAGAGAAAAAACCTGGAAAATATTTTGCGTTGTTGTATATCTAACCTTCTGGTTTCCTAATTTCCACAGATAGTCAACTATAGCCCAGTTTTTAAGATGCGCTATTAATTGATGATCTCAACATTATTTTTTAAAAAAAAATTAAAAATATATATAATATATAGATTAAATTAATAAAATATTAAGAGTTCATTTTTAAATATTTAAATTAAATTATTAATGATTAAATTTATTATTATATCAATTTTATTAAACACATTAAAATAAAAAATTATATAAATAGCATGAAATAATCAAAGTCTTTCTGAATTGAAATTTTCACAAAAAAAATAATATTTTGGTCAAGATTAACTAAGAGACGTGTTTAAACATTGCAATATAAATTTATGTAAACTTAATTACATTTTAATTCATTAAATATATTTGATTAGTAAAACATTTTAATTTTTTTATGTTAAGCTGTGGTTCTTTCAAATTATTTATTTTATCTCTCAAAATCTACAATCGAAATCTCTATTTTTTAAAATTTTAAATCTTAAATTTTAAACTTCAAAATTATAAGTTCTACAAATAAATTTTAATAAATTTTGAACGTTAAATCATAAATTATAAACATAAATCATAAAATTTAAATCTTAAATAACACTCGTAAACTTTAAAATAAATATATTTATGAAAACTTACATAATTTATATATCATAACTTTTTAAAAGAAAAAAAAAACTTGAAATATTTCCCCCTCATATCTTATTTAATATATTAGCATTCGATTTCAACCTAAATCTCTAAGAGGGTGTTTGGTTCAAGGATTGTGAGATTCTCATGGGATGGGAATCTCACATTCTCATGTTTGGTTGGCCGGGAATCTCATTCCTGGTAATGTTTTATTACCAATAATAGATTTTTTGGGTATATTACCGGGAATGTCATTACCTCCCTTCCCTTATGTATTGTAACATTACCAGTGTTTTGAACTAAAATGCCCTTAATTTTTTATTTTTTTTCAAAAATATCATTCTTCTGTCATTGAATAATAAAAATTCTACGAAGATTAAATTACAAATTTATCTTTAAATTATTTTAGATTTACAAAAAAAAATCTATAATTAAAATTTTATATAAAGTTCAGAGGTTAAAAAATATTTTTACCCTTTCATTAAACCTTTTTTATATTTTTAATTTTGTAAAAAAATTATATAAATATTATGAATTTAATTTTTTAAAGAAAATATATAAATATTTTACAATTTGTAATATTATACAAATATATAATAAGGACAATTTTGTCAAATATAAATTCCAATAATTTTTTATTCCTTTAACCAAACACGGTAATCTTACATTCCTGCTAAACCAACCAAACACAAAATACAACATTCACAGTAATCCTATTCCCTGATAATCTTTTATTTCCACTGGTAATCTTACATTCCGTGAACCAAACGCACCCTAAGGATGTGTTTGGTTGGGAGAATGTAAGATTCTCATGGAAATGAAATCCACATTCTCCGTTTGGTTGGTCGGGAATGTCATTTTCGGTAATCTTACATTACTAATAGTGGATTTTCTGGGTATATTACTGTGAATGACATTACCTCCCTTTCCTTAGATATTATTGAATTATCGACGTTTTGGACTAAAATGCCCTTAACTTTTTTTCTTTTCAAAAATATCATTATTCTGTAATTGAATAATAAAAATTATACGAATGTTAAATTACAAATTTATCTTAAAACTATTTTAGATTTACAAAAAAAAGTCTATAATTAAAATTTTATATGAAGTTCAAGGGTTAAAATAAAATTTTACTCTTTCATTAAACCTTTTTATATTTTCAATTTTGTAAAAAAAATATATAAATTTTACGAATTTAAATTTTTTAAAGACTTGTTAAAAAAATAAATATATAATAAGGACAATTTGGTCAAATACACATTCTAATAATCTTTTATTTCTTTAATAAAACATAGTAATCTTACATTCCGTGAACCAAATGCACCCTAAATAATTTCTTCGATCTCGATCTATTTCAAAATATTTTTTTATATTAGGTTAACTCTTATAAATTTAAATCAAATTATTTCTAAAATATTATGATTATACTAAAAGCAATTTAAATTTACGATTTTTATTACATTAAAAGCAATTAAAAATTAAGACTTTTCGAATCTGGGTCTTCGTTCTTCAACTAGTCTGTCGTCCTAATAATTGAAGGCATAAAACCCTAAAGAAGCTAGCTTAATAGCAACATCCAAACATTCCTTTACCTGCCATTCAAATTCGAGCTAAATTAAACACCGCCGGTATCGGGCGAGCAGCCCATCAGCCACTTTTCAAAATCTCTTTGGTCTCCCGAGAAAGAGAGGGAAAAAAGTTAAAAAAGGATTTTTTCCCTTTATTATTTTGTAATTTTTATTATATATTATGCTTTCCTTTAGCCGCCCATGGCTTTAATCGTTGTTTGACGTCCCGTGTTCGGTTCTTCACAACCCCCACGAAAATATCTCTCTTATAAAAAGGAAGGGGGGAAATCGATTTCAATTTCACTCTTTTTCTTTACTTCTGGGTCCTTATTCTTCTTGTGAATCTCTGGTTTGTCCCTCGAAATGGCTTCTGAGGAACAGTTATCCGCCATTAAGGTATGAAATTAATACTCCATAAGGAAAATTAAGAATTTTGTTTAACTATAATTTAACCCTTTTTTCCTCTTTTGGATGGTAGAGGGCGAAAGTGCTTATGGTAGGGGCGGGAGGGATTGGATGTGAGCTTCTCAAGACACTTGCCCTCTCTGGGTTTCAAGATATTCATATTGTAAGTTGATTACTTACTAAAGCAATTCTTAAAAAGAGTTTTTTTGGGGATGTAAATTCTCCCTCATTGTTGTTACCTCTAGGGTTTAAATTTTAAACAGTCCAGTTTCGTTCGTTTAGAATTTGGTACGACAAACTATTTTTAGAAGAATTCACGGGGGTTATTTACTTTTCATGGGGCTCAAGTTTCGTTTATGGTGCATGTAGACGCCGCTCTATGTCTATAATTTGACAATAATTATTTAGATAATCATCATAAATTGTTGTCAAATGATTTTCTGCTCTCCCTATGGGTGATGATTCTAGAGATTTAATTTACCGGAGATTATGGATGCATGTTTTAGTTAGGAAGAATTGACAGAATATGTTTGACATATAATCAATTCCGGTGGTTTTGATGCAATTAATTGGTAGTGGTGATAGCGGGAGTCAAGGTGATACCAATTGTGCTTTGATACATGCTGTAGGACATCGGAAATTGTAGAAGCACACAGGCCATCATGCTGGGAGCACATATTGTCAAAATTGAAGGAACCAAAAGTTTTAACTAGCGGTAAATGTTGATGGTGGTAGTATGATGTTGCCCTTACGCTGACTCAATTGGTAGTATAGTTACTTCTTTACTTTTATGGTTCCTTGAGAATGGGGCTGGTTACGTTGATACAAAAGTTTGATGGATAAACTAAGTTAGTGGCAGGTGCTGATATTATGTTCTTGATGTGCTGGGGTTTAGTTATCTGTGAGAGGGAAGCTATCAATTATACATGGTGAATCTAAGGGTTTACCTGGGTTTTGTCTTTTGCTATCATTAAAAAATATTATTCGCTATGTCTTGTGAGTTCAAGTTGATGATGTGTGCTGGAACTGATGTTTTGACCGTCAATTGTTGTACAACTTATTTACCGGCTTAAGTAACTGATATAATTTTTTTTGTAACTTATTTGCAAATATATTTATCTGCTTGCAGATTGACATGGACACTATAGAAGTCAGCAACCTGAATAGACAATTTTTGTTCAGACAATCCCATGTTGGGCAGTCTAAGGCCAAGGCAAGTACATTCACTAGCATTTTTCCTTGTTTGCTTTAATTGGTAGTTTTAACTCAATAGTATGTATTTCAATTTTTTTATCAGGTTGCTCGAGATGCAGTTTTAAGATTCAGGCCCAACATAAGCATTACACCATACCATGCAAATGTTAAGGAGTCTCGCTTCAATGTTGATTTCTTTAAAGAGTTTGATGTCGTGTTGAATGGGTTGGATAACTTAGATGCAAGGCGCCATGTAAATCGTCTTTGCTTGGCGGTTGATGTCCCATTGGTTGAAAGTGGGACCACAGGGTTCTTGGGACAGGTAATCTAGGTTTTTACGTGTCTTTTAGCTATAATATTTCTGGTTCTTATCTTTTAACTAGGTTGTGCCTGGATTGCTTATTTTTGTGCTTCATCTATTTTTTCTTATTTCATGTATGTACGAATCCACTCAATTGTGTTGATCTTACATGCTGTATGTCCAATAATCATAGGTTTGCTATTTTATGCAAATAATTACGTATTGAAGGAACTCACCCTGGAACAGGTGACCTGTTCTATCCTACATATAAGTAGCTTCTTAAGTCTCTGTTTGGACAGAGCTTGTTTCTCTTGGTAAGTGCTATTGTGAGGCTCCATAAATTTCTTTATCAAATAGGTACCATACATATGTTTATTCCTTTTTCTCTTTATACTGGTTTATTAATTGAACCTTAACATCACCTTAGGTTCTGAAGGTTTTAGTTTCATTGAAGTCTTGTCTGACTTGAATATTTTTGGTTATTTGACTTAAATAGCTTGAAGCCTTGGAACTTTTGTGTTTCATTTTCTTTTCAGCTCCTCTCTATCTCAGTCGATATGAACTTATGCTTTGATTTTATGCCTTCTTTTGCTTGGCTTTTGCATTGCTTTATGTTATTAGTTTTCTTTCTGAATGTTTTTGAATATGGCCATTTTGTATGATTATAACTATCCTGGATGTAGGTTACTGTACATTCGAAGGGAAAAACAGAGTGCTACGAGTGTCAGCCAAAACCTGCCCCAAAGACTTATCCTGTTTGCACTATTACGAGCACTCCATCAAAGGTAATGATTCATTTTTGAGACTTTCTTTTGGGTGGAGTGGAGTGGGAGTCATTTCCTTCTTTGTATTGGCTTTGAGCAACCAATAGTCACTATGTTAGAGTTATGATCTCATGTTTAGGTATATTGTTGCCTAAAAATTGTCATGCCTCAACTTCTAACTGTATTGTTCGACTTGTAGTTTGTTCATTGTATCGTGTGGGCTAAGGACCTGCTTTTTGCTAAGTTGTTTGGGGACAAGAATCAGGAAAATGATTTGAATGTGCGCTCTAGTGATACTGGGAATTCGTCTGAACATTCAGTAGATGTATTTGAACATAGAAAAGATGAAGATATTGAACATTATGGAAGAAGAATATATGATCACGTATTTGGTCATAACATAGAAGTTGCTCTATCTAATGAAGAAACATGGAAAAACCGAAACAAACCACGACCTATATATAGTAAAGACGTCCTGCCTGTGAAAATGACTGAAGAGAATGGAGACACAGAAAAAGATAGTGCAACTGATGATGTTTCGGTCATGGCATCTCTGAGCTTGAAGAATCCTCAGGATATATGGAGTCTTTCTGAAAACTCGAGAGTCTTCCTTGAAGCTTTGAGATTATTTTTCTTGAAGAGAAGAAAGGTCAGTGATAACCTCTTGCTTTTGAAACACTGATATATCATCTCCACCTACCAAGTTAGATTGATTTGTTTTATAATTTGGCAGGATATAGGGAACCTTACTTTTGATAAAGACGATCAGTTGGCTGTGGAGTTTGTTACTGCCGCTGCAAATATCCGAGCTTCTTCTTTTGGGATTCCTTTACATAGTCTTTTTGAAGCTAAAGGAATTGCGGGTAATATTGTGCATGCTGTCGCGACAACAAACGCTATCATAGCTGGGTTGATTGTGATTGAAGCAATTAAGGTTTTAAAAAAGGATAACAACAATTACAGGTTTAGTTCAGTCTCTTTAATTCACAGTTGAATTTGTATTCTTTTGATTATTTTGAGGTTCCTAAATACAAAGTAATTATATATTTCAGTTTTGTATAATACGATTTATATGCAGGATGACGTATTGTCTGGAACATCCTTCAAGAAAGTTGCTTCTAATGCCCGTAGAACCCTATGAGCCTAACAAATCTTGCTACGTTTGTTCAGAGGTATTTCTAAAACGGATGTCTGATTGGAATTTCTTGTGGTTGTTTTGAATCTTGCTTACTTTAATATCTCTAAAACAGACGCCGCTATCCCTTGAGGTTAATATGCACCATTCTAAGTTGCGGGATTTTGTTGAAAAGATTGTTAAAGGCAAGCTCGGCATGAACTTTCCTGTAATTATGCAAGGGGCGAGTATTCTTTATGAAGTTGGTGAAGATCTCGAAGAGGATATGGTAGCAATTTATGCTGCAAACCTTGAGAAAGTAACATTCTTTTCCCGTACATTTTAATCAAATCCTTTAACATGAATCTATTTGCCTTTTGTGCGATTAATTACGTATGGATTCAAGTCTTGAAATCACAGGTGTTGCACTTTGGCACAAAAGGTAGTACGATAATTGCAATTGATTTCTTTTCACAGGCTTTATCTAAGCTGCCTTCTGCGGTTACTAGCGGGACTGTTCTCGCTGTAGAGGATCTTCAACAGGAGTTCTCATGCAGTATCAATATCAAGCATAGGTTTGTTGTATTTACCTTGATTTTAAAATCCTTTTATTGTGTCCATACCGTAAAATTTTACTCATTTTTTTCTTCATCCAAACGACTCATCAATTTTGCTAATGAAGTTGCATTGATAAATTTGCTCTTTGTGCTTACAGGGAAGAATTTGACGAGGAGAAAGAACCCGATGGAATGGTTCTCTCTGGATGGGTAGAAGCACCTGTTGATAAGGACAATAATAATAAGCCTATTGGAAATGGTGAAAGTACATCCAACGCTTTGCCATCAAAAGAGATTCTGGAGTGTGAAAAGGATGTTGAAATTCAGGAAACATCAGAGGGGACTGAAACCGTTACCAGGAAGAAAAGAAAACTGTCTGAGGTTGATGAAAGTAAAAATCAGAAGAAACCCGAAAAGCTTGATGTTGATGATGAGGATGATGAACTCTTTATACCCGACGACTGGGAATCACTCATCAAGAAGAGAAGGGTCTAAGAGGTTTTACATCTAGTTTGTGGACATCATCTCACCTCTGATTCTGTAATCGTTAAGCTAAATGGTAATTCTTTTTGTAGGCCGTAAATTGTTACATGTTAGGACAGAATCTATAGTATTTTGATTGATTAGATGTTACTAACTGTTATGTTGATTCCGTTTTTGTGGTGTACCAGTGTTACAACGTGTAATTGTCATGTTTTAAATTTTAACAGAGGGCTGTGACTTTGCAAGTATTCAGATTTAACATCAATGTTAAATGAAAATTATCAATGGTTGAATGTTTACAGAACTGCCATTTGCTATCCTTTTGTATAATTGACTGTTAATTTACACAAAAGTATTGGTTGGTATACATTTTTATGCCTGCCCGAGTTCATCTACAATGGTAAAATTATTTATATCCAACTTATCAAGCCGTGGTTTACTGTTTTACCTACCATTCATGCTTTGGAATTGAGTTCCGGAGTGATCACCGCTGGCTTGAACTTCAGTTGGACCCATGTCTTCCGGATTGGAAACCGGACGGCAGTTGTTATTGACCGGAGAACCGGTTGATGGCACCATGATAGAAGGTTGGGAAGTGGTGCTGGCATTCGATGACCTGGTGTTGTCCAATTTTCCTTGGGTGAATGCCTCTTGCAGCTGCAAGGCGTACTCCAAGTTCCACAAAACATACCCCAGTTGAAGGTCTGTCGCACTGTATTTGGCCAAGCACTTCGCAGCCTCGGCAAACTTCTTCATTGATTTTGGATTGATGGAACCGACAAGATGTGGATCGATAACGTTTTCTGAGCCTGTTCCGTTGCATTTCCCAATCAGCCAAGTTAACCTGCTCTCTTGGCAATTGGCAGGCCTTGCACACAAAATATGCAATGTTATTTGAAAATGACATATGATAAAATTATTGGTTGGTAAAATCATTTCATTTCTTCTGTTATTCAATTATTATTTGTTAGTCAGAACTAACGGTATTATTTTGCAGCAGTATTATTTTCTAACAAAATATGCAATGTTATTTGAAAATTACATATGATAACCAGCAAGTATTGGGTGAAGGTGAGATGCATTGTACTTCTAAGGAGAGACATTGTTAGGAGGAACACCTCTGAAGCCCGAATATGACACATTATTTTTGAAGCCCTCGTTTTTTAATGTGCTAAAAGAATTTTACTCGTTTTAAGAAAAATGTGATCAAAATGCAACTCGTACAGTATCTAGGGACCCGTAAATTACTTGTACCATCATTTGATGTCAACCATATTACTAGGGCTAAAAATGGGAACATGTAAAAATGTGTGGCAATTAGGGGAGTCTTTCATGGTCTAACCCTAAGGACCATGTCAAATGGACCGGTTAGGTTTGCATTAAAATAAGATTTTATGGAACATTAGTGCTTCCAATTATCCTTAACGACAACAACAACGCACCAAACACAACTAAAACGGACAGTGGAGGGGAATAAAGAGGAGTGAAAAAGCATGCAATGTGAGATATTATATTTATACTTTTTTAAAAGATTTAAAGTTTTAATAATGTTTTAAGTAAAGTGAGGGTTAGGGCATATATTCTTCCCTCGACTCAAGTAAAATTTCTCACTTTACACTGTTAATAATTGATCATCTACAGTGATTGAACTAGGTTATAATATAAGAATGGGAGTCATGGATTATTACCATTAACAAATGACTATGAGACATAAAATGAGTGAAAATAGAATATTTATATTATTAGTATGAAATAAGAAAATATTTATAGGAAAAAATAGAGATAATTTTAGTTGTCTATTTCCACACATTCAATAATCTTAAAAAGATATAAAATTAAATACAAGTGGGTCTTAACCCTATATACACACACAGAGAATGAAATATTTATGAAATCTTCGTGAATAGAATTAAACCTTATTTCATGATATTTATATGAGATTTCTCTTTCTCGTTCTTAGGTAAGTATTTGAGAACACAAAGGTCTTTATTTTTATATTACATGGTGCATGATTTGAAACACAAAGGTGGCAAAGAATTGGTGCCACTCTTCCACCTAGCAGATAAGCTTTGCCATTTACCTACCTATGGGTATGTGTACTTATTAAGTTGGTCAACGAAATGGAAACTTGATCTTGCAAAATATTGTATAACAATGGACCTGTTGTCGACATATGTGTGTACTCATTCTATCTTATAATTATGAAGTTGAAGGTTTAATCTTTGTTCATTTATATATTTTATAATAATTTATGATAAATCGTCTAAATTAGAACTAAATTGTAATAAACATAAAATCTAATCAGGATATATCAAATCAAATTATTACGAATAAAATACTATATTTGCATAAGCGTACTTGAACCCATTGTCAGATATTACCTAAAAGATTGAGATATTAAAAATTGTCTTGAAGGTTGAGATCTTAATAGAAATTAGGTTTCTCTTGAGTATAAAATCTCTGACGAAAAAAGAAAAAATACAAATCGACCTATTTATAAGGGACAACTACCTCTTTATATAATTGATTTAATAATCGGTTATTGTGTGTATTTATAACTATATTTCTTATCAAATTATAAATACAACTATGATTGTATATATACTTTTATTTTCATGATACTTTTAATATCTAATGACATGTGTAAAATAATAGGAAATCGTATCGTTAAATTTATTCATTTAAAATTTTAATAGTCTTTATATTATATATAAGTTGTAGAATTAATTCTTATTCTTTAATTTAATCATGTTAAAATAATATGTTTTAATTATTTTAGCTATGTACAGTGTAAATACCATACAGGGATTAGGAATTTCGAGTGTCGAGACTCAAAGTTAATATTTTGGTAAGGTGATATAATTGGGCCAATGAATTTAGAGTGCCGCTTAAAAAAATTAGGTCCATTGGTTCATTTTGTAATTCGTGAGCCCATTAGGTCATTCCATGAAAGGCCAATCTCATTAGGCTATAACTACATAAAGGGCTACCCAACATTGAATGTTTTGATTGAAGTTCCATTTATACAAGGTTGTGGATATTTTGATTTATGATTAAAATTAATAAAGGTTTAAATTTTGAATTTGGTTAAACGGTTTAAGTGGTAAAAATGACTATTTTTATTTTTTGATATTTTAGATTTTAGCAGAGAATGTATGCATTATCAATGAAGATTTTGAATAAATATTATATTGTAAACACTCGAGAGTATTCTTTTAAAAATAAATATATATTTATATATTGTTTTATTTTTTAGTATAATAATAATAATAATATAAAAATATATTACTTAAAATAAGATCTCTCCTTGCCAAAGAGTGTTGGCACAAGTGGTTAAGATTTCTCCTATCATCGTCACTTTTGGTGGGAAATCTATAAATCTCAATTGGTTCTTAAGTATATTCTAACCCTGGATTGGGGGAGCCACCTAGGGATGGGCATGGGAGTCGAACCCAACGAGTTACGACCCGACTCGATCAGGTCGAGTTTTAAAAAAAATATCGGGTTCATATCAGGTCAAGTCGGGTTTTTTTAAAGGTGGTGTTCGGGTAGGGTCGGATTCGGGTTTAGAGTGAAAATACCCGACCCGACCCAACCCGGGAAAAAAATAATTTTACCTTATATATTTAGAAATAATTACAATAATACCCCTCTATATATTATTTTTTTCAATTAAATCATTATTTTTATTGAATAAAAATAATATTTTGGGTCGGGTCGGGTTCGGGTCGGGTGGAGGGTATATATTATGTGGGTCAGATTTCGGGTGGAGGAGTCATTGTTCTCGGGTCGGGTAGAGTGGACCAATAATCTAACCCAACCCGACTCATGTCCATCCCTAGAGCCACCCTTAACCTAAACTTTTTTGTAACAAAAAAAAAAAATCTCTCTCCTTCACCATCCACCACTCAGTCTCTCACTTAATGAAAAGTTTAATATTAAATTAGAATCTGATCAACACCCACCATTGATGCTTAATGAATAAGACACCATTGTCAATTAAGTCTCTTTTGTTTCTTTGTGCTTAAAAAAACTAATATTAGGTCGATAATGTCTTAGAATATCATTGCCTACCACAACAACAAAGCTATAGCATCCACATATATAAATGATTAATTTTTGTTTAAAGCCTAATTAATCTCACCACCATTAAACAAAAACCAAACATTACACGACACCTTTTTACTCGGATCACGCGAGCCATACAAAAGCATGGTTGGCCACATGCTTTTAGAATCTCAAATCAAATATATATGTATAAACACACATATATATATATATATATATGTAAAGTGTGTGCGTTTGAAATAAAATAATCGAGAAAACTGTTTTTTTATATGTTTGATTCGAATAATGGTTACATAAAGAGAGTAAATGTGAAAAAAGTAAACAAAAAAGAATGGGTTTCTTTTGTTTTGTGAAGCTTCTTTTTAAAGAAATCTTTTTAGAAAAGGTTAAATATTGTTGGATATTTTTTTATAAGAAAAGTAAAATATATATAGTATAATCAGGATGTGTTATGCTTTGTTTGTCATGGAAACCAAATCAATGATTCGGTCAGAATAGTCTGAGATGATTATAAAGTAATATATGTTCAGAATTTTTTTTAATTATTGACAACACACATACATCTTACAGACGTAACGACTCGAACTCATTACCTCTAGGAGAATAACAGTCTCTTTAACCACTAAACCCCACTTGATGGTTCTTCAATAATCCATTTCAAATTTCCTAAAATTCTTATTGATATATAATAAGAGAGATGGTTATTAATGATAATTAGTACAGTGATAACGAGCCAATAAAATATCAAGATAGGTATTTAATATCAGGTCAAGCTAGGTATTAAGTGTCAAAAATTGGACAGTGTGTTGGATCAGATGGAAACCCTAAATTCAGAAACAAATTAAACAATGAGGGGAGAATAATATTTTCAAGTCAGATAAGTTATAAATGTTATCTTATTCGACCTATGATCATCTCTAAGTGTATATTATTTGTTTTATTTTTAATGAAAGCAATTATGATATATTTGTAATTAATACAATCATCAAATAATAACATTATTTGTTATATTTTTAATTAATATAATCATCAAATACATAATTTGATTTTTTAATGTCAAAGTTGGTGTCATGGTTTGAATTGTGACCTCCCAAAAAATTAGCTCCTAATTAGTCCTATTGACTATGTCACCCACTCCTATTTTATGAGACAACTTGACACAAGCGTGTTAATGTCATTTTCAAAGGAGTTTTTTTTAATAAAAAATAATAATTTATTTCCATGTGTTTTCGTTTTAATAATTGACTGCCTAACAATCTTCCACATTTACCAATAAATAAATTTATTAGCTTCACGAGTGCTTACGGAACCATAATTATGAACATTAGATTATGTGACTAAAAATCCCATGCTAAGGGTAATTAGGGAGCAAATAAATGTATATGTTTAGGAATATGATTCAATTATATAATGTAAAAGTTTTTAATTTTATATAAATTTAGGGTTATTAGATGAGTAGAAATAAAAAACAACGATTAACAGTAGGAAATGAGTAAATATTCATTGGAAAAGAAAATAAATAGTTAATCGCAACCTTCTATTTTTACTTCTTACTGTTGTAAAGTTGTGTAAAACTAAAAAATAAAAAGATATTATGTAAGTGTATCCTAACTCGTATAGTTATTTTTATCTCTTTTAACTTTGAAGTTAAATAATTCGACTTTTAAGCCCATCAAGTTGTCTTAATGATAAAGATGAATGTTGTTCTGCTTATAGGTCATGGGTTCGAGCAATTACGTCTGTAGGATGTTTGTGCATTGTCAATAGATTAAGAAAATTCTAAAGAGATATTACCTTGTATTCATCATATATTGTTAAAAAAAGTTAAAAAATCATTTAAGTTATGAATTAAAAGAGTATAGGGACTAAAAGTAAAATTAGACCTTTTTTCAGTTTAGGTACCTTAACATGTGATTAAGTAACGCCTGCTGAAGACAATGTTGTCCCCTGCACGTGCGATTGAGTTTCAAAATTGCAACTTTTTGCAATAAGAACCACTTCCCACTATTACAGCAATCTCTTAAAAAAATCCATCTTTCTATTACTTTTTTTCAACCTTTTTTTCATTTACTTTTTTATTTTTTTAACTTTAAATCCGTCTTTCTATTACTGTGTCAGCTTTTCTATTTATTTATTTAATCAACTTTCTAAATTTAATTGCTATTTTCTCCTATTTTTACCATTTTTTTCAGTGTTCCAATCTGATGGGATGATCTCTTTTCTCCTTTGCGTCTCTTATGCAATCAACGATTTTATGACCTCACAATACACAATCACATTATTCAATTAATTCCAACTTAATGACAAATTTTGGGAAATAATTGTGGGAATTTTTTTTGAAAAGTGTTTAGATTTTAGTAATAGTCTATTAAATATGATGCATGGATATTTTTAATTTTAAGTTATTTTTTAATTAAACTTATATGTGAACTCATACAATGACATCAGTGGTTAAAGATAGTGTTATTCTCTCTAGATGTTTCGAATTTGAATAATTATATTTGTAGGGTATGTGTATGATGTCAATGGTTAAGAGATATTAAAATCATATAATATTTTGTAACCACTCTAGACTATTAAAAAACTACCATTTTATGTTTATTTTACTTAATTTATTCGATATAATTATAATGAATGTTAGAATACCTCAACAGTTAACTAAAATATAGGCTTCTCTTTACTTTTCTTCATGCATAGTCTCGTTTCTAAAATTATATGATTTTATCTCTTCTTTTAATTTATTTTATAATTTGATATCGCCATTGATTTGATTTACAATACACAAAATAATACTATACAAATATAATTTGAATTTCACATGATATGATCTACCTTGGGTAAGTTGAATTGAGTCACTGACGAACCCATTAAGACGTGAGGTGGATAAATATTCGTTCTAAAATTTACATTTTTTTCGTATAATTATTTATTTTATTAATTATATTCGGTTAATAAAAAAATTATATGATTAATATATATAAGTTTAATTTTAAAAATATTCTTGAATCTGTCGCTAAATTTAAAATGAGTCATTACAGTATTTAAGCATCTGTTATAAATAAAAATGCCATCCTTTTACTTATCAAATGAGCTTTGAAGTATGAAAGCGAGTAGAGATTTTTGTCATAGCAAAGCGATTGAGATTCCAATAATCAGAGGTTTATAAACTGTTGATTTACCAAGGAAAAAAACAAAGGAGCCACCATCCACAGCTACACACTTCCTTTTTACAATTTTGTCAAAACCACTCAAGCAAACACAAACAAGGCTGCTACTGCAATTATTTTGGTTAATATATATATATATATATATATATATATATATATATATATATATATATATAATTATTTGATATATTAATAATAAAATTTATAATTTATAATTTATAAATATGATGAAAATGAGTGTAATTAAAATTTTTCATTACTGTAATTAATAATGAATGCAAGGGTGTTTAAGTTTTTATTGTTAAATGATTCAGAATCTTTAGAACATGTATTAACTTGTAATCATCATAAATTAATAAAAAAAAAGTGATATATATATATATATTATTGTATGATATATCAACGTCTTTTTAATGTCATAAATAAGATTAAAAAATAAATTACATATTTAATATATATATATATATTAAATATGTAGTTTATCTTAAAAAATTATCATGCATGTATTCTATTTGAAGACGGTCGACGAAAAGAATTCTCGCATTTAACTTTATTTATAAAATATTTATTATTTGATAAAATTCAATATATTAATAAAGGCTAAACTTGAAATTATCACATTCAAAAGAAATATAATAATAATTTAATTTTAATTTGATTAGTATTGTTATTAGTGTATCATTTAAAATTATAAAATAAAATATATTTAAATATAATTATTTATAACACGAATTATAGAAATTTAGTAATTAAGAAATTATTATTATCATTTGAAATCACATGTTCGAATAAATATTATCATATATTCATCTAAATTAATAAAAAAATATTTATAATTTAAAATAATAATATTTTATTTAAAAGATATATTTATAATATGTTTCTCTTATAAGTGATTCTAATTTAAGTATTTTTATTATATATATATATATATTCTCTTATAAAAATTCTAAAATATTCTCTTATACTTATAAAATCATTCGATAAATAATTATTTATACGATATGTACTAATTTTTTAGTCAGAAATATGAAAAATAAAATTATGAAGAGCATAGTATAACACTTAAAAACACCCCAAATACATTAAATAAGGGTTTTGTTAGGCATTGCATAAGTTGATACCATTAAACCCCACTTTACAAACTAAAAGAGCCAACAACAACAACCAGTCTGTGTGCCGACACATAACCTTATTTCTCACCACTCCCTACTGATAATAATAATCTACTAAAATAACAAAACAGCAAAATCCCTATCTTCTCTCTTTCAAATCGGCCTCTCATGCAGATTTTACTCAAACACGTTATATGCCGATGCCATGATCGGCTGATTCAAGTAATTCAAAGGGTTAAAGAAGCAATCAGTCGTCTCTGTGAAACCAAACCCATCGGCATCGGAGTTACTAGTACCGCCGTTGATGAACCCGATGATCTCGTTCAGGGACTGTAATCGGTGGCTAAGCTCATTGGCCTGAGCTCGGAGCACCGAGTTCTCGGTCTCGACGTTCAAGTAATGTTGGGTGGTGATGTTCAACTGATTCAGGATCTGGTGGTTGTCGTTTTGGAGCTGAGTTACTTGAGCCTGGAGATCATCGAGATGCTTTTGTTTCCTCATCCTCGACCGCCGTGCCGATTCCCTGTTCGATATCATCCTCTTCCTTTTCCTTTCGTTCATTAATGCCTGTAAATCGCCCTCGGAGCCCGAGTTTGTGGTGAGTGAACCGGATGATGTTCCACTTGAGGAAGCCATGGAATTGATCAAGAGAGATTATAAATTTATAATAATAAGTAGTAAAGAGCTAATAAAAAAAAGATAGATTAATGGTAGTAGTCGTAAATTTATTTATTTTTATAGATTTTGAGAGGGAAGAAGAAGAATCATGAAACGTAGTACAACCAGTAGAGGAAAACAACTGAGAAAGATTGAACGAGATGGGTCCTGCGGATGAATGTGGAATTGATCATAAACCCAGAAAGGAAGATTTCACTGAGAATTGGAGACATGAATCTCAAACATCAAGAACAAAAGATTGGGCATCAATATTTTGTTGTTTTAAACAAAACTCTCCTTGAAAATCACAAAAAAAAAAAGGAAATCTTTGAACACCAAAAAATTTTCAAGTTTTGGGTTGTAAAGTGAAAAACCCAGAACCCGTTTCTGGATCAAAAGAGATTGAACAAGAGGAATCTGGAAAAATAAAAAGACTGAAGAGGAAGGGAAGAGGAAGTAGAGGAGTTAATTGAATGAATGAAGCTTTGATTTATAGAAGGAAAAAGGACCTGCAAGTTGATGGAAAATTGATTTAAAAATAGAAAATTAAAATTAAAAAACCTCAGACTGAGAAGCAAGTAAAAATGGTTTTGGGAATCTGCTCTGAAAAATTACTAAAAGTTTTATGAAAAAGTTGATTGGACATGTGTGTTAGATAAAGAAAGCAGGGAATACAAGTGGGCAGATCCAGCTGGGAAGCAACAATCTTTAAATTTACTCTGTGTTGTGCAGTAAATTCACGAAACTGTCAAGTAAGCACGACACAATTACAAATAGGGATGGTCATGATAGAGTTGGATCTAGTTTTTGGTTATTTTTATTATTACTTTTGGGAATACAGATTATTATTTATTTAAATATTTGTATTTTTTATAATAAATACTCATATACTATTTATATATATGATACTTGAATTTATGATATTAAGGAATAACAATAAATCGTTAATTATGGAATTCGTTTAGTTTGTATCGATAGTTAATTTAAAAAAGGAAAGGAAAAACTACTTTAGATAGCACTAAACTTTATCCAGTGATTCGTTTATACTTATAATTTTTTAATTTTTTCAATTATAGCACTAAATTTTAGTTTTACATTCGATTTTATCACTTCGCTATTAAGTCAGTAATAAGATGATGACATAGCTCACAATTGCTAACGTGGCATGTCAGATCGAAACGACGTAGTTTTGGTATTGTTGTTTTTATGCCTAAAATGACATCATTTTAGACATTAACTTTAGAGGTGTATCAAATTTACCATTAAATTTTTAAATAGTTTGTTAACTGTAGTTTTCGGCTATCATTGGCAACCAAGCATCGCCCGTCACCAGTCATATTTCACTGTAAGATCGATACCAAAACGTTTGTATTTCATCCCTCTTTCTTCTTCTATGATTGGTTTTTCATGAAATCCACTCAAAATTGATGAAAATTCATTTAAAATCATGTATTCTCGAAATAATACTTTTCACTTTTTAATTTTTTGAACAAGCAACTCTAAATCTCGTAAATCTAAGAAAATGTCCAAATATATAAATAAATGATAGATTTTTTTTTGTTTCATTTCGTTGATTTTGAGTGAATTTTGTAGAAAACTAATCATACGAAAAGAATGATGAGTGAATGCAAACTTTTTTGTACTGATCTTATTGTGAAAGATGATCAATGACAGACTGTGATTGGTTATCGGTCAAAAAGTGTAGTGTCCATGAAGTAGTATGTTTAAAAGTTCAGTGATAAAATCGAAACACCTCTAAAATTCAATGTCTAAAATGATTTCGTTTTAGGCATCAAAACAATCGTATCAAAATGACGTCATTTTGGTGCGATATCCTTAGGGATGGGCATGAGACCCGAACCCGACGGGTTCCAACCCAACCCAATCGAATCGGTTTTTAAAATCATGTTCGGGTCGGGTCAATTTTTTAAAAGGTGATATTCTGGTCGGGTCAGATTTTGGTTTAGGATGAAAAATAATTGACCCAAAAAAATATAATTTTACCTTATATATATTTAGGAATAATTACAATAATACCCTCTATATATTATTTCTTTAATTAAATCACTGTTTTTATTGAATAAAGATAATTTTTTTATTATTGTAGGTCGGATCAAGTTCGGATTTTATCTCAAAAAAATTAGATCGGGTGGATGGTATATATTTTTTGGGTCGGCTCAGGTTAGATTGAGTGAAGGATGTAAAATTGTTGGGTCGATTGAATTGGCCGAAACCTAACCCAAACCCGATCCATATCCATCCCTAGATATCCCACATTAACAACCGTTAGTGATGTTATCGTCTAATTAATAACTTAAAATTTTAGGGTACAAAACATCCCAATAGTTTTCACTGCGGAAAATGTCTAATCAAACAAATAGCCTGTGCTTTTCACTTGTGAGAGCTTCAAGATATTTTTGTTCATTTTATTAATTTGTCTTTTTTAATAATAATTCTACAAAAATTAAAATTACATATTGACCATTCAATATATTCCAAAGTACATTTGATTTATTGGAAAACATTCAAAAGTTTTTTTTTAAATATATTGAAGTTTAGGTTGAATAATATTTTTGAGTTCTTCCATATTTATTATATGATTTACATACAAAGTTTAACCGGGTAAATTCAGATCACAGATTCTAATAATTTTAACTGGGTAAACTATATAATTAGTCATTTTCGTTTTAGTTTTGTACACTTTTTTTCTCACTGAATTCAAAAAATATAATGTTTGAATCACTTTCATTTTTATTTAATTAAAACGTGTCACTTTTATTTAATTTTCTAACTTTTATTCATTAACGACAATCAAAATTCAATCGACTAAACATTTAAAAGTTGATAAGGTAAGTGATTACATTTTAATTAAATAAAAGCAAACAATACCACATCTTAATTAAATAGAAGTGAAAATGACCAAATATTATATTTTTTGAATTCAGTGATAAAAATTTACAAGATTTAAACAAAAGTGACCAATCATGCAATTTACCCATTTTAATATTACCTATATATATATATATATATGATTAAACCATGTGCATAATTTATCTGTCAATCTTTTGTGACAAAATATCCACTTATCGTCTTAATGCAATGAAACTAATTAAACTTTATATTTAATATTTATCCAACAACTTTTGACCAAGAAAAAAGTGTTCTTTTTCTCTCCCATAAAAATGGGTCGTTTTGGAATTTTTAAAATTATTTTACGTATAAAAATAATTTTTGTGTAAAATATTTAAAATTACTTTGTATTAATAGCTATGTATTTTATAATCCCAAAAAAAAATTCTCTTTATTTTATTACCTTACTTTGGTATCCTCATTTAAGGCCCAAAATAACATCTTCTTATGGATCCAGCGGCTCATTGGAGTTTGGGCTCACGAGCCAACCATTACGGTATTTTTAGAAATCCACATTGTTGATGCAATATGAGATGAGTCCTTAACGAGTTCGGTTGGATTTGGACCGAGTTTATATATATTATTAATATTGCATATAATCTCGAATTTATATATATATATATATCAACTACTTTGTCGTATTTAATGCCTAAATATCTGGATCGTTTGACATTATATTTCATTGATTTATATTATTGTTACGGCTGTGCTGTAGATGTTTGGTGAACCATACCGTCTTAATTTCTTACCTGTACAACTTAACACCTACTACATTTATTATTCTATTATTTTCTTTTTTTTATTAAATTATTATATTCTTTTATATATATAGGGGTGTTAAAAAAATCGTAACAGTTAACTGTAATCATTAACTGATATAATCATTATATTTAACATGTTAATTAATTGAATTGATAATGTAAATGGTTTTGGTTAATTGAACCGCTAAAAATGATAGTTAACAGTTAAAGGTACGGTTACGAATTTTGATAAACAGTTAACCGTTAATAAATTAAATTTATAATCACATTGGAAAATGTGCACAATTACACTGCTGTAAGTATGTGTTAAATGCAACATTTTTTAGAGATGTACATGCTTACACTGGTGTAAGTATTTAAGTGTTACACTTTTTTATAGTATGAATTATGAAACTTTAAAACATTCATGTTGTGTTATTTTTTGAAAAATAATTGTAATAGGTTAACCTACGTGTTATAGTTAGAAAAATCCCATAATTATTATAACGATTAATCGACCGTTTAGATTAAACAATATGGTTAACTGTCCATGGACAACCCTATATACACACACACATATTTTTCTATTTTAGTTTGAGTTCTATTTTCTTATATAAATTTTAAATTTAATCTTAATTATACTTAGATGAGAGGTAAATAGATACTCTGAAGAAATGAAGATGAGTGCTCCTAATAAATTTAAAATCCATGACCTAAGAGAATATAAGATAATAAAGATGAGCAATTTGGATAACCGATCAAATGTAGTTGCTCTATTTAGAGTTCTATCTTGAATATATATAATAGATAAATAATCAGATAAGAATATAACCCATGATTAAAAATAAATATTATTTATATTTGACATACGTGTTTAAATTCTTATCATCAAAGAGTAAACATATTTGATTGATTGTCAAAACTACTCATCTTTAAACCAAATAATCTCAATGATTAAAAATTTTATTGTTATCTTTTAAAGTATTGAGTTCGAGTACTACTTTACTAGAAGTGCAAGTAAGGACGGAGCTTTATTGAAGCCCAAAGGAACTTCGACCCCTGTAAAAAATTTATATATTCAATAATTTATGATTTAATAGTATTTTAGTTCATATAAAAACAAGTATTTAAATTAAAAAAATTAGAAGAATTTATTAAAATTTTAATTAAGTAGGGGTTGGACTAGATAATGATAATCCAATGTTCTCAATTTTCTTTGATCTAATAACAATTTAGGTTATTCTAAGTTTAGATATTAAAAAAGTTAGGCATTGTTTTCTGAATTATGAGTTTAAATTTCAAATAAGCCATTGTATTTTTCTTAAAAAAGTCCAATATTTTGACATCTGTCAATATTTAATCTTGGCTCTGTCCTTATAAGTGTTCATTGTCAAATGATTGAGTCTTTAAACAAATAATGCATTGTATTCATCCTTATTTATAAAAAAAAAACATTATAAAACTTATCAATTGGTTTCAATGGTTAGAATGAATGTTATTTTCTCGAGAGGTTCTGGTTTGAACATTTACATCTATAGGACTTTACATAGGACTTTACAGATTGTCCACCAGGAGTTATGGTGGTGAGATTCGAACTTGATCTTACAAACTCAAATTCCTAAATATCAACCACTTGTGTCAATACTTGTTGACATAATGTTTTTCTTTTACAGTTTGAGGTGTGTGATACTTAAATTTAATGTATACAATAAATATAATTGTAAAATTTAAATTAAATTTATGAAATTGATATATGTTAAAAATGCGAATGAGGTGATTAAAATTATTTTCGACAATCATTAAAATAAATAATAATTCGTAGATGAAATGTTATTTCGTACAGGAATTGTCGGATTATGTACTTAATATGTGGTTTAGAATTCTATTTATTTTTGTTTATTCATTAAAAATTAGATATATCATTGTTGAAAACCACATGGTGTTCTAGACAGGACAACTCGAAATCATGAAACTTTATTGCATTTTTTAAAATAATATATTAATAAATTAGTTTAAAGGATGTGATAATAGGTATTTCAATAAGAGTTTGAATTTTAAAATTGTGAATAAAAATATATTAAAAATTTACTCTTATAATAAGTCTTTACAATATTTAATCTATAGTTTTATGATAATTGGATTTAGGTAGGTATAAATATGTGTAGTTACGCAATTGTGACATATTTAAAAAATTATTATGATTTTAAAAATCGATTTAAAAAATTAACATGAAATGATTATAATATAATATTTATTATTTTTAAAAAAATCGTCATTGACAACACGTAATTATCCTACAGATACAACTGCTCAAACTCATGACATATTAAAAAAAATAATATTTCCTCTAACTATAGAGATCACTCGATAGTTTTAAAAAAAAAATATTTAAATTGATGTAATTTTAAATATTATTATATTATTTGATTTTATAATTTAAATTGTAATTATAATTTGTATTATTACATATAAGATAAAAAATATAATATTACAGTTCATTCAAATTTTTAATAAAAATTAAGATAGTAATTTGGTAAAAGTGTAAAACACTTCATTAAAAACTAAAAAGAAACCCATTGAAGATAAAAATAAATAAAGAGCAAAAAACAAACACAAAAGGTGAAAAGAGAAGCAGATCAATTAAATCGCATTTAAACCGAATCATTGCCCAATTATAGTTACGTTGCCGTTTTACCAAACTACATTTACTGCCAGACGATATTGTAAGAATTGGATTAATTACAATCATGGATCTGCTCTAGACGGTTGAATCAATTTGATGTTGGTTCAATACAATAAAGTAAAATGTATATAAATTAATATAAAATAGAAATAAACATAAATTATAAAAATATAAAAGTAAATATTTAGTAAGTCATATTTTAAAATTCAAATTTTATTTGATTTTTTAGTTAAATAAAGTTTTTAAAATTTTGTTTAAATATAATTATAAATATTTATAATATTATAGTAAAACTTAATATAATTTAATAATTTTTCGAACCATGTAAGATATATATATATCTATATATTCATATTTTTCACATTGTAATATAATTTAATAAATTATCATATAAGATTATAAAATATATTTACATTTTTACTTTTTAAAGAATATATTATGAGAATAGAATACTGATAGGAGTATAAATGAATGAAGGAACTGATAGCAACAAAGTATTTATAAAAATATTACATTAAAGATTTAAATTAAATAAAATATAAAGTTAAGGGACTAAATTATAAAAATATTTAATTTTTATAAGAAGTGATAATTTAAGTTATATAGATATAATATAGTGGTAAAAGAGCATGTAAATCAAATTTGATGAAAAATTGACTTAAAATGAAAGAAGAATTAGAGGTAAGAGTACTTGATCGATTCTTGTCGAGTCGAGTTAAAAAATTTTAGCCGAATTGATGAGTCATACTTTATCATTCAAAACTTATTTATTATTTTAAAAAATCAAATCAAATATAAAAATTCAAGTAGAATAAAATTATTTTTTAAAAATAACTTTTGTTAATCAAATCCAACTTTGTTAACCTTAATTGTAACAAGCTCCTCGTCGGTGTAATATTCACCTTCCGCCGGCAGATTCTTATTTACATGCACTCTAGCTCCATCCTTTCGCCACGTGTCAATCTTAAGGTTCCGGGACCCTTTGTCCCCAAATGAACCTCTATATATCCCGCACCTTATTTCATTTCATATTCTCTAGAAAATTTCCCAACCAAATTCCACTGTCTCTCCCTGTGGGAATTTCTAATTTATTTATTTTTATTTTACAACCCATTTTTTTCTGTATTTTTTTGTCAAGTAGTATATATTTCCGTTACAGTATGGGAGAGCGGTCAAAATTATCGTCAGACGCATTTATGACCGTCGGATCAAGCTCGTGATCCGTGATAACGAAACACAATTCTTATTTTCACTACTGTTTTTGTTTGAGGTATTATTATTACTCCAATTTTTCTTCTTATTATTAATTAATTATTTGTGTTTTTCTTCATTCCTTCATCTGTAATTAATTTCACAGAAGCACCTGAAATTTTGGAATCTCTGATCTACTTTTTTGTTCTTTATCTTGATTACTGATGGTAATGCGGTTTTGATAAGGCGCGTCCGCGGCTAAGTTTTTACCTGTCTTGAAACCAGTAGATCGGACGGTCAGTTTATCGGCTGCGGAACCTTGATTCTTCGTGAGGAAGCGCAGATGTCGGGGCCACTCGATCGATTCGCTAGACCTTGTGAGTTATTATTAATTTTTGTTTCTTGAGCTGATTTTTGTTAATTCTAGGGTTTCACTGAATTACTATAGCTTCAGTTTGATTACTTAGAAAAAAAAATTAGGTAGTGTGTAGATGAATCAAGCTCGATTAGCAACAGAGGAAAGGAATCCGGTCATGTTTAGTATGTATTGGAAAAAAATATAACATTATTATATTTTAATTATTAGTGCATTTGTATATATTTATATATGTGAGTTCTTATTCTGGTAATTGTTTTCGCGTTTTTCCCCCTTTTGTTTTAGGGTTTGATTTTCAGTTTGTTGTGTATCTTTGTTTTGTTTTTTCTCTGAAAGATCTGATAACAACAATGCACGTTTATAATGATGCAGGCTTTGAGGGGATTTCAGGTAGTGATGAGAGGAGGGAGAGGAAATCTGATTTCGAGAACTCAGAGGATGAAAGGCGCACAAGAATTGGATCCTTGAAGAAGAAAGCGATAAATGCATCTACTAGGTTTAAGCATTCTCTCAAAAAGAAGAGTACTAGAAGGAAAACTGATGGACGTGTAAGCTCTGTATCGATTGAAGATGTTCGTGATGTTGAAGAGCTACAAGCTGTTGATCAATTTCGACAAGCGCTGATTATGGATGAACTGCTTCCAGAAACGCACGATGACTATCACATGATGTTGAGGTGCTCTTTTCTTAATTTTATTTCCTATTCCCAAAATATAGTGTTAAGTTTATAGAAACTGCAATTCCCAATTTCCCATATCTAGCCTGGAGTTGACAGCCTAGTTCTGAATATTCTATCGACAGTATATATTAATTTCCATAATGGATTGTGAATGGTATGTTCCATGGTTGTTAAAATCTTTACACTGATTTAACTTGGCTTGTTAGGGAAATCAGTAAGAAAAAAATTGGCATGTTTTTCAAACGCATATTTGTTTTTTGCTCGCTGAGATTATATCTATTTTTCTTGTTGTTTGAAGCCTTCTCCCCCTCATTCTGCTCCCTTCCTCTTATTTACTTGCCTCACCAACTTGAGTACCATGACAAGTAATAACTAGAATGTAACCTTACTCTTGTGTAGGTTCTTGAAAGCAAGGAAGTTTGATTTAGATAAAGCTAAGCACATGTGGGCAGATATGCTCCAATGGAGGAAGGAATTTGGTGCTGACACTATCACGGAGGTAATTATGGTTAATAATTTTCCTCAGTGTAGTATATTTTGTAATCCATGTCTCTTTTTACATCATTTAGCATTTATATTTCAGGATTTTGAGTTCAATGAGTTGGATGAGGTTCTAAGGTATTACCCTCATGGTCATCATGGCGTTGACAAGGAGGGAAGACCTGTGTATATTGAAAGGTTGGGAAAAGTTGACCCCAACAAACTCATGCAAGTTACAACTATGGATCGGTATGTAAAATACCATGTCCGGGAGTTTGAGAGGGCCTTCACTGTGAAGTTTCCTGCATGTACAATTGCTGCAAAGAGGCATATAGATTCAAGCACGACAATTTTAGATGTTCATGGTGTGGTATGTTTCTTGCAATTATTTGTTTCTATCTTAATTTCTGAGCTTTTGGCTGCTTAGTAGTAGCTAACTCCTAATTATTTTCTTTCATATATGTATTAGGGCTTTAAGAATTTTACCAAGTCTGCAAGGGACCTGATTATGCGGCTTCAAAAGATTGACGGTGACAATTACCCTGAGGTCTTCAGTCTCATTGTGCTTATATGAATTACAAACTCATGCTTGTAGCCTTATTTAATATCGAGCTGAAATTTCGTTACGTGGTCTTTTCTATTTTTGCAGACTCTTCATCAAATGTTTATCATCAATGCTGGACCTGGATTTAGGCTGCTGTGGAACACTGTGAAGTCTTTTCTAGATCCCAAAACAACTTCCAAGATACATGTAAGTTAATAGTTTTCAACAATTTTTTTCTTTCGACTTCTGTTCTATCTATTTGTTGGTGATTTATAATATGTGTTGTGTATATTATGGAATGACTTTAGGTTATTGGAAACAAGTACCAGAGCAAATTGCTTGAGATTATTGATGCCAGGTAAAGGGTCTTCGAACTTTCCTGACATGATAAATTGTTCTCTTTATCTTCATTTTCTCCTTTTTGCTATCTACTTTTCATTATCATTTGTCTCCTTTCAATATATATGTGTGTCTTTTACTATATTTTACTTCACGATTGCATTTGTCTAAAAGTTTGTGTCGATACTTCAAATCCATTCAGTGAGTTGCCAGAATTTTTGGGTGGTAGCTGTACTTGTGCAGATCAGGGAGGTTGCCTTCGGTCTGATAAGGGGCCTTGGAAAAATCCAGAAATTTTGAAGGTTATAAACTGACCTTGGTATTTATTTAATAGTGTTAAACTGTTAATTCCATTAGTTTCAAGTGCTTCATCAGTGTACTTGCTTTAATGAGGAAACACTTTGCTGTGTGTATCTTATCTCAGATGGTTCTTAATGGCGAGGCACGACATGCCAGACAAGTTGTAAAAGTTTTAAATAGTGAAGGAAAAGTTATTGCTTATGCTAAGCCACAGTATCCAATGGTATGCCATCTTTCTAACTTCCTGCGATGCTCGTCTATTCTGGAAAATCTTGATATTCCTGTTTTTGAAGTACTATTTTTGCATTATATCATTGCGTTTGTGCGGTATGAAGCAGCTTAAAGGTAGTGATACTTCTACAGCAGAATCTGGATCAGAAGCCGAAGAAATTGCATCCCCGAAAGCAATGAAGAGTTTTTCACAACTTCGGCTGACTCCTGTTCGCGAAGAAGTGGGTTTTTTCTTTTCTTTTCTTTTCTTTTTTGGAACCTTTTAATCTTTCACGCTGACTAATTGTTTTTACTTCATTTTCTCTGGATCATCTATTCACATTCATTTGCAGTTTTCTTTTTGTTTGTTATTAATGTAATTATGTCGTGTCCAACACTGGTATCATTGGCATTATTTCCAAGTTGCTAATATTGTTTGCAAATTATGCAGGCGAAGGTCATTGGGAAAACAAGCTATGCTGGTAACTTCTTGGGATATGATGACTATGTTCCTATGGTTGACAAAGCTGTTGATTCTACTTGGAAGAAACAAACTTCCCTTCAGAGGTTTTCTACTCACAAAGGTTAACAAATATAACCTTGTTGTCTTTTAGACACTTTATTTTTCCTTAAAAACTTGCTTAGGCCTTTTATTAAGAAATTGAAATGCTGTTTTGCACTACAGGTGCATTAATGTTGTCAGAAACTCCCAAGGCCCGAGAAGGAATTCTAGCTCGGATTATGTTGACTATCATGGCTTTCTTGATGACACTTTACACTCTTCTCCACTCAGTTTCATGCCGTATAACTGGAAAGCTTCCTGACACAGTTTCTGATCGTTGTCAAAATGTTACTGAACATACCCCTGATGCAACTCAGCAGGCTGAGTCTCGTCCACCTTCTCCGACCCCTCCTTTTTCTCAGGCTGATCTTTTATCTTCTGTGCTCAAAAGATTGGGTGAACTTGAGGAGAAAGTTGATACATTACAAGCAAAGCCATCTGAGATGCCTTATGAGAAAGAGGAATTGTTGAATGCTGCCGTATGTCGTGTCGATGCCCTAGAAGCAGAGCTTATTTCTACCAAGAAGGTACTGTCAGCATTCTTAATTTTATCATCTTTTTGCAAAATATAGTTCACATTTCTCTCAATACTCCCTCAACCCTTCCAAGAGGAATTGAATTTTTTACATAGCGCCATATACATTAAATGCTACAACATTACATTCTACATTAATGCAAACTTGGTAACAAATCTTCTATGGAAGTTGTTGTATTATGGATGTAGGCATTTGATAAACATAAAAGACCCCTAGCTTTTTAGGCTTTAGTGGCTCTCCAGGCCACCCGAGTTTTCCGGAAACCTCAATATCTCTAGGGGAATATTTATTGGTCTTTCCTGGTTTCATTTTCTGAAAGTTTCATTTCATTTGCGTGTACGTGCACTGTATTGAATAGGCTCTTCATGAAGCTTTGATGAGGCAAGAAGAACTGCTTGCTTACATCGACAGTCAGGAGGAAGCCAAACTGAGGGTACGCCATTTCATCTAATATTCCTATTGTTTATGTACTCTTGATGGTTACATTTGATGTTCTTTATCGTATTACGACATGTAACTTATGACTATATATCCCTCTGTTTCAGAAAAAGAAGTTTTGCTGGTGATATGCTTTTGCTGCTGATGGTGATCCTACAAAAGCCACTTACCTATTGCGAGTCCGTTTCCACTGTACCGATGAAAATACAACCACTTATGTCAATCTCGTGGAGGTTATACTGCTTTAAGCAACAACGTATTCGTCTGTCCGAATACCAGCCCTTCCGCACGGAAATGCACAACTGTAATCAAACTCTCTGTCTGTTGACTCTCTTTTCCAATGTAATGTTTGATTTGCTGCACTTCTTAACTACAAAGATTTCAAATATATGTTGCCTTTGGCTCTGTTGTCAAAAGTTCGGTTTGCTAAATTATCTATAAACTTCGATATTACGACTTCCAAAACCTTGTAAGCTTCCTAATGCATGCATAATGTAAGCTTAGATGTTAACTCAAAACATGAACGAACACAATTCAAACATGAAATGCCGAACAAAGTGGATTGAAAGAAAAAGAAAACGTTGTTTAAAAAGTGAACTGCACTTTCAGGTTATATTACCAAATGTTTATGTATGTATGTAAATTAATTTGTAGAACATGGACTGACCAAGAGCATTTCTCTAAAGTTTGAGGCAATAATTGTTAAAAGTATACACAACAATGCAAGTAAAATGCTAAATCTCCAAGGTTATAAGTCTTGGAATCGAGTAATTTACAATACAAAATAATACACCAAGGGAATTCATCTGTGGGGCTGAATACAACAATGCCACCAATGACATCGAAGATTGGTCATGATCGGTCACCGTACCAGCGTAATGGGTTCTGCAATCACAATCAAAGGAAATGGAATGTGAGAAAAGAAAAACCTTCAAAATATAACTGAAGTTTGCATGGTCTCAACTGTCAAGGCACTGAAAAACTTTGATAACTTACAAACTTATACTTCTTGGCCTTTCTATCAAATATAGGTTTGAAGTTCCTGCTGCTTAACAAGGGCTTCTTCAAGTGCCTGCATAAGCAGAAGACAGAAGGTGAAACTGATAATGTAAATTTGGAGTACATTTGTTGCTATACGTACGTACATATGCGTATGTATGTACCTTCTTAGCTGCAGATATCTCTTCTTCAAGGGTACAGACCCTGTTCAAAGCGGCATTCAGTAACTCCTTCTCGGGTGGCATGGTTGCCGGTTTCTCCATGAGAACGCTCACCCTGTCTTCCAGGTCAGCCATGCGTTCCATTTTGGAAAAGTAGTCGGCACTAGTGATAGGCAGTGGTAACGGAGGAGCATGGTCTGCGTTCTTCATGTCAGCGTGATAAACTTGACTGCCATGCACATTTGCTTCAATTAGTTTCTCCGGCATGTTTCGGGACAAGCGAATCATGGTTACGGTTCCCGTTATGAATGCCATGATTCCTCCAAAAACCTGGTTGCTCATTCTTTTAGTAACCTTCCCATTACCTTTGGAATGGCAAAGCTTTCATCTGCCTTGGATTTACGTCATGAAACCACTGGAATTACCTTGTCATAGGCAAGGGAATCCGGGCAGTTTTTATTGATGGGAGACTGCAATATACAAAGAAGACAGAGATCTACATAAGATAACATGAAACATGAAAACCGAAATGCAAAGTGTTTGATTAGTTTCCATTCTTGACATTGGCATGATAATGAGTGAAACTTACTTCAGCAACATGATATAAAGGAGCATTCTCTGCAAGCCATTCAGCAGTGCCTGTAGCCGATTTTTCGGCGTTGAAGGAATCACTCGTCTTCGTTTTTACAACATCGAAGAGGGTAGGCATTCAATTTGTAGACGCATGATACAAGTTAGTTCTAGGATAATTTGTGAATGTTGAGAACGGAAAAAGCCTTTTTTCTAGTAGTGAATACCTCTAGGAATGCTTTGTCCTCGATACCTGATGTATTTCTCCTTGTGCACTTGGCCTCACCATTTTGAACCCTCTGCTCATGTAAATGAAAGTATTCCATTTTATTATACCAATTATCATGCTGAACACCGTATCAATATCCGACACTTGTCTTATTCAAGATACTCTATGTTTAGGCTAATACCTTTAATATTTTGGGATCGTTCCATGGACCCTTGTCGTCGGACAGCATGCAACCGCCTTTATCAGCACAGGTACAGCTACCTCCCAAAAACTCTGGTAGTTCACTGTTGAAAAGCCACAGCAAAAGAAATGTTTACATATGCGTATGCATGCACACACGCACGCGCATATATGTATGTCTAAAGAACATATACTAAGAGAAACTCTTAATGCTCTTAAAGCTCACTGAGGATCAATTACTTCAAGCAATTTGCTCTGGTATTCGTTACCCAAAACCTCTTGAAAAAATACCATAAAGTTGTTTAGCAACCTTATGTAATCAAAAACCGAATCCGGTTTTACAGTAAATTTGGTGATTAATACTTACATGGATTTTTGCAGCGGTCTGGGGATCAAGAAAAGATTTAACTGTGCCCCCATAAGAGCCTAAATCCAGAGCCAGCATTGATGATATACATCCCGTTCAGAGTCTGCAAACATAAAAAAGCGTTCAATTAGCTTTCGTCACGACTGAACCGAGAATCCAAGGGAACATTAATTGATCTTATGGAGCAATAACTACCTCGGGGTAATTGTTGCCGTCAAACTTCTGAAGTCGCTGTAGGAGCTCCCTTACAGCCTTGTTCAAGCTTTCAAGTCCCTGAAAGTTAAATTATGATGCCGGATTAGAACTGCAATGAAGCGAGATTTGGACTGGTTAAAGAGAAGAAAAAAACAGTAACAAATATGACATACCACTCCTTCAACATCCGATACGGTGGTGCTTTGATCAATGTGTTTTTTTGCTACAATTGAAGCAGCAGGTAACTTGAAGGCAAAGGTCCTCTCAAACTCCTTTACGTGGTACTTCAGATAGCGGTCGATCGTGGTCACTTATCTTGTTAGCATCGACTTGACCCAGTCTTTCGATATAAACCGGTCGTCCGTCTTTATCGACTCTTTGATATCCTTGTGGATAGTACTTAACCACCTCAGCATATTCCTTGAAATCAAAGTCCTCCATGATTGTGTCAGCTCCGAAATCCTTCCTCCATTGAAGCATATCAGCCCACATTTGCTTTGATTTCTCAACATCAAATTTCCTGGCCCTTAGAAACCTGTATCATGATCGTCGAATAAAAATTTTAATCATCTAAAGCCTTTCGATCTTTTGTAAGGATTAGAGAAACGAAAAAGACAGAAAGATTTCCACCTTAGCATCATATGATGATCATCATGTTTACAGGTAGTAGTTCATCTAAGATGAGTGCTTGGCGGGAAGCATCGACAGCCCGTAACTCTTCGGCATCAAGGTGATCTTCTATGCTAACGATGGACATAACTCGACTATATCTCCTAGACTTCATTTGAATGGAATGTCTAAACCTGCTAGAGGCACTAATTACCTTCTTCTTAAGAGAACCAAGCCTCGTTTTCCTCTCATCCTCGTTGTTCTCTACATCCGGTTTTTCAAGACCTGTAAACAAGACATTCGAAACCTCATAAGTCCAATCCGAAATCCGATTTTGCACAACCCAACCATTGACGATCAACGAATGTCATATCCGAAATCCGGGTTCTTCCCAGATCTGTCATATCTAGACATCAACCATAGCCAATATTCCGTATGCATTTTTTATATTCGAGGACTCACCCATTTTAGAAGTGTCAGCCATGACTACAGCCTACACAAATTTCTGCAATGTCTTTCAGCTACTGGATCGAACACAACCTGTGCAAAATATGTCTATGACCTGACCAATTATGTTCTACACCTACATAATCATATCAAAACATCTGCAAAAAAAAAGACAAACCATTGGTATATCAAAACCAAACATGCTAAAAAATTTCTTGCAAGACAAAAGGGCTGTCATGTTTGAACATGTAAAGATCAAAGAAATAAACATTGTGATGATCATAAACAACCCTAGACGGATGCAATATTTTATATTATAGGCGAACTTCTAAAATTTTAGAAGAGATAAATATATAAAATTAAATGGACGAAAATAAATTATCAATAAAAAATTAAAAAAATCTAAAATATATGATAATTTAAAATTTTCAGAAAGAATGTGGCTAAACTAATACCATATGAAAGGAGGCTAAGGGATAAACTAATGGAGGAAGGGAGGATGTGCATATAAATTCACCGAAAGAATCTCTTATTGACAATGTGTCTATATAAACGTAATGGATTGATATTTCACATATTTAGTTGTTTCTCGAGATAGATTCTTCTTAAACCGTATTTATTAATCTTGATTAGGTCTAAAAATAACACAAAATTCTTGTGTTATACTTTTTTGGTACTCATTTAGACGAAACGGAATATATTTATATGGAATATTTACTCAAATATTGTTACACTTTTCGTTATAACTTAATCTCTCGGTTTTTCTCTTTAATGATAAGGTAATATCTAGTCAAAATATTTCTTAACTACTAACAATACATACAATTAGTTGCTCGAATCTAAAATTTCTACGGAGAACGACCACTATTATCCCTTGATAAATTCACCTATAATATTCTTTCTTCTTGCACAGAGAGGAACTCTCTCTCTCCTCCTAAAAGAAGGCTCTACATTTAGGAAGGTTCTAATTCGAGTTTTTTTTAGGTTAAGTTTTATTAGTCTCATTATTAGTCATTATTTTGTGATTTTTCATCCACATCGAAAAAGATAAATCATTAATGACCATATTTTATTAAGTCTTTTTATCAATTCTCCACCCATGTCATAAAAATAAGGGTAAACTACATATTTGGTCACTTTAGTTTGAGTTTTATAAATTTATGATCACTAGATACAAAAAAAATAATACATAGTCACTTTCGTTTTATTTTAATTAAGATGTGGTTACTGAAACATTGACTTTTGTTAGTTTATGACGCGGCATGTTAGTAAAAAGGTTTATTTTTTACTTTAACCCTGAACTTCAAATAAAATACTAATTAGGGACTATTTTATAAATTCAAAATATTTAGGGAAAAAGTTTTATTTCACCCTTTTTTAGTATACTTTTTCTTCCTCCCCTACGACCCGAACCCGACAGGGAAACCCGAAACCTTGCTAAGTTCGGGTCGGGTATCAGAGTAAAATTTGGGAATTTTTTTGGGTTCGGGTTCGGGGCAAGGTATCCCCGCCCCGACCCAATTATATATATATATATATTATTAATTATATATATATAATATTTTATATATTTTATATTAATTATACATATATAATTTTATATATTTTATATTAATTATATATAATATTTTATATTTTTATTA